CTGGCAAGATGTTCATCCGTGCGACATGTTCCACCAACGATTTCTGCACGACCTTCTCAAGGATTTTGGACAGTATCGGTAGCAGTGATACCGGTCGGAAATTTTTGGGAACAGAGGGATCACCAGACTTGTGGAGCAGAGTGCGACCGAGCTTCAGGTTGCCGTGGACTCCATCGCCCGATGGGGTGCTGAGTGGAAAATAACCTTCGAACCGACCAAGTCCCATGCGCTCACGATCGACTTTTACCGTCCGGCAACTCCTCTTCCCCACGTACTGTTCAACGTTACCAGGGTGCCTGAAGCGGGCGAGATCAAGCTCCTCGGGATTTTGTTCGACTCCACGCTGCGATACTCGACTCACATACGCCAGGTTGCCACCAAGGCCCTCCGACGCCTCCACTGTCTCCGGAAGGTAGCGCCATTCCTGACAGCACCTGGCCGTGTTGCTGTGTCCGAGGCCGTGTTGCTGTATCCGAGGGCGTGTTGCTGTGTCCGAGACCGTGTTGCTGTATCCGAGACCGTGTTGCTGTATCCGATGGCTTCATTCGACCAACTATGGAGTACAGTCAACTTCGCCAATAACGACATTCGGCGGGGCATCAGAAAAGTGTCCTTATTCGCGAAGTGTTCTTATAACCGAAGTCCCATTTGAATGTATGTGAACCCATATTTTGTATGGTATGACATGCATATCAAAATCAAGCTCTTTTCTTGCTCTATGTCAATGTGTACTTTATTTTCATATTGCAGTTGAAAGGAACTAAAAATTCAATATGCAAGGGAAATCAATTGAAAAATATGCCTTTTTGAGCCATCTACAGGGCCAGAGACATGTACATGTATGATGATTACTGTACAATCATGTACAACTACGTGTACATTGTATACACAATCTGCGGACAGAACTGTTTCGTCCTTTGTGGACTCGTCAGCGCAGCACAGAGGAAATGAGGCCGAACCTGATAGCAATGGAAATAAAAATTTCCAATCAGGCCCGAACGTACCTTGCCAGAGTGCACAAACTGACAAGTCAGTGCATAAAGCAAACAGCAAAGGCACTACCCCACGCAAGAGTGCTCAACTGCTACAAGAGCAAGAGCGAAATACTCAATCTGCGGACAGAATAGTTTCGTCCTTTGTGGACTCGTCAGCGCAGCACAGAGGAAATGAGGCCGAACCTGATAGCAATGGAATCAGGCCCGAACGTACCTTGCCAGAGTGCTCAAACTGACAAGTCAGTGAGCTCTGTACATTGTATACATATAGGTGTGCTGGTAAATCCAACAATTTTGAAGCCAACATAAAAAAGGAAGAAAAAGCCCCCGGCCCCCCTTGGCTGCATTTTCTTGCATGTGTGCCTTTATAATAATAATATCCATCACCATAGGTTCTGGTACTTCTGCATGACAGGTGCATGTACTTGACTGACAGGTACTTGAAATAGCTGTCAAAAGCCCAGAAAGTCGTTATTCAAGCAGTGAATATGACCTCGGGGCACTAAAAGCATGTCGCTATACGCGAATTGTCGTTATTCAGATAGTCGTTATATCCGAAGTTAAATGTATACAGTTAGATGAGACTTTGCTCTGGGCATAGAAATTCGGTCGTTATTCGCGAATTGTCGTTATATCCGCAGTCGTTATTAGCGAAGTCGACTGTACTACAGACCTACTCCTGCCTGGTCTGGATGGTCTGGATGGTCTGGATGGTCTGGATGGTCTGGATGGTCTGGATGGTCTGGATGGGGGCTCCACTGTCCCGCCTGGACGCAGTACAGCGCCGGGCACTAAAGCTGATACAAGTACTGGTCCTGGAGCATAGTATAGGTACCACGCCTGGACAGGCTGGAGCATAGGCGCAGGATGGAGGCCCTGAGCTTCCTGTACCTGCATACGCTCTGCTGCCTTCCACCGACGAGCGCCTTGAAAGCAATACTATGCCCAAACCTCTCCAGCTGGCGGATGAAACCCGCAACACCCGTCTATCGGCGGCCCAGCGATGCCAGTCACATGACTTTCCTTTGGCGTGCGTAACTATAGGTACACAAAGGCACACAATGAAAAGTTAAAACCTTCGGAAAATTCCGTTGTGATTCAGAGTTTCATGGCTGAACCAATCATCAGACAACTACATGTATAAAGGTAATCACGTGACGTTGAGAAACTACAACAGTTACTACAACACTTTCTATCCTTCGCTTTCATATAACTGGGCCAGGAACCCGTTTGAACTTGCGAAGTAAAATAAAATCAATCATCAACACTCAACACTCAACGAGGTGTAGTGAAAGAAGTGGGCAAAAAGAATATCAAGGTGAAACTTACAGCTGTAGCAATACCGACAGAAAAAGAACAAAGGAAGAAAGGAAGAAAGGAAGAAAGGAAGAAAGGAAGAAAGGAAGAAAGGACAGGAAACACACTACACCTCGAGAATTCTTCATGACGCATTCACCATCAATGATCCCAAGCAAATGCAAAGACAACGCGTTCTCCGCCTTCTGAACACATACAATGTAGTTCAGGATCAATCTTACGAATGGACTACAAGTACAAGGCTTCTAATACAGCAACATGCAACTAATTACTTAGACCGAGGCTACCACGTGTCAAAACAGAAAAGACAGAATCAGTACTACTACTAGTACTACTAGTACACCTCTCACGCCAACTACAGTACAGTCATGTAGCACTGACTACTGTACAGTCATGTAGCACTGACTACAGTACAGTCATGAAGCACTGACTACAGACACACACAGTACAGTCATGTAGCACTGACTACAGTACAGTCATGTAGCACTGACTGACAAGTGATTCTGTCCGCTTTCCTGCAGGACTCTGACACATTCATTGTTCCCACTTCCGATGTCGCTCTTCCCGGGTCTCCTCCATTAGTTACAATGTCATGTATGTGTAATGCCTCCATTTCTCCGAGTGACTCTTCCCGAAGGCGTTGCCTCTGCTCTGTGTCCAATACAGCTCTTGGCTTGTTGTGCGAGATAACTTTGGTGCATGCGTATACTAAACACTAGATTGAATTGGTGCATGCGTATACTAAACACTAGATTAAATTTCTTTACTTAGTAATCATGGTAATACACTCTACCACAGAACCATCAGACGCTGCACAGCAGGGGCGCGGTGGCATCTTGGATGGAAGTGGGGGCGGGGCAGAAGTAACTCCTCCTACCAAAGGCTTTCAGTTCACTTCCTACAGTCATGGAGAGGCTCTGCAGTGATCATGGTGAATTCCGTGAAACGTTCAGTTCACATCCTTTCAATCCTGCCTGATTAGTGATGCGTGTACATGTACATGACTTGTATGATGAAACAGTTGCGCTGTCACGTGGTGTAGCTACATGTACATGTAGCTGAGAACTACTTCGAACTACATAAAATAATAAGTACATGACCATGATTATAATTATTATAATCATGGTCATGTACTTGACAAGTACTAGTTACAATGACGTAATTGCCTGAGAACTTGCCTCATGCAGTTACCAGTTACTTAGTACTGTAGTCAGTGTAGAAGAGAAGTGATGTGCTCTTCTTTCCGATAAATCCAGGTAAGACCCTTCAATGGCTGCACGCGCAGTATAGTAACGATTACTACAATCAGTACATAGCAAAAATCATGAAAGTTACTTGAAAGAAGGTCATTAAAAAATAGTTTATACAGTAGGTATCAAAGTCATACGCACACTTTAAAAATCCAGACATACATGTACCATTGATGTACATACCAACAGTACAATGAGTACAATGACTGTAGATCACAGCTTGTCATGTACATGGACATGTACAATGTAGATCAAAGCTGATTGTATTACTTTTTTTAAAGGAAAATACTTCACGTAACAACTAACAACAATCGCAGCTACATGTACATGATGCATGTGGACTTTTGTGGAGCATCATCAGATCTCAGACTGCCAGACTGCCAGACTGCCAGAGTGCCAGAGTCAAGTCCTATTCAGGCTTCGTAGTCAGTCACTGAGTCTGTCAAGCTGGCGAAACTGACCATTTACTAGTAGTGATTTAGTGATTTAGTGGACGAACCTGAGCACTCAGCAGCCGGAAGCAAAACACATGGCCCATGGGAACAATGAGAAATATCCGGACACCCGGACAATAGCAGAAACCCCGGGAAGGAAATAGGCACATGTACCTACGCAGGACTCTGAGGAGTACTAGTAGTAGTAGTAGTAGTAGTACTTTTATTAGTAGTATGCGCGTATTGAACTGATGCTGACGGTAATTATGTTGTGTGGACTAAGCCGTTAGCGGAGAAGTGATCAGGAACTGTTACTTCTTTGTACAGTTTGTCTTCATATCACTCAGCCCAACAACACAGTCAACTACAGTGTACAAGTACAGTCATGTACATACTACATGCTACATGTACATGTACATGACTGTACTTGTATTTGTGTTGTGTATTTGTATGCGAAGAGTCCAGAGGCAGAGTATGTGCCAGTACATGATCGTATTGTTAGCATTATTCTAAAAAGACTTACCAACCAGACTCATTGCTACATCGTGTGCAGGGCGTGTGGACGCTATGATTGAACACTGCCCGGCGCCGGGCTCTGCTCTCTCTGACATCGGCGGTGTTTTGAGTGGCGAGTGAGAGATCTCTGCAGACACCATCAACACTGAATGAGTGAGTCTGTCGACCAACCATGTACTGACTGTACCAAGCCAGCTCGGAGGGCGCAAGGAGCACAACTGCCACAAAGCTACAACTACTTGAACTAGTACAAGGCACATGACATGGCGGATGACTGCGCTAGCTGCACTCCAAACAAGTCTACCCTGCCATGGTCACCCTGCCATGGTCATTTACCATGCCCATGGTTTACATGCTTGCTCTATGCCTATGAAGTATGAGTATGACCAGTTCATTCACCCGGCCGTAGTCATGATAGTGGAGTCTGCACTCAGAACTCTCTGCATCGTTCCCTACTACCTGCCCGGAAGCCTAGACAGAGTAGAGCCTAGCTAGCTAGTGCTGTAGGGTGTAGTGTAGTAGAGCCGCTAAGTATGCAGCAGAAATCACGAGATTGAAGTCTGAAGAACTCCACTTTCCCGTTGCAGAATTAGAAGTCACTTGTTTACCCACACAACTGCTTTGGCCTGTTGAGGGAGGCCGTGGTGGTGCGACTTGCTGGCTGGACGACGTTCGGTGAAACGTCGTTGGCTGCAACCGCGAAGCTAGTAGGATTGAGTCCGAGTTCTCTTTTGCCAGTTGTCATGGTTGTGTAATGTCGAGTCGCCTACCTAACCTAGCCGTTGTGCGTATTCACCACTCCAGTGACAGGATGCGAGCAAAAGTTACTAACTGACTAGCTCGTTAGGCAAACGTACTACTAGGTATTACAATTATTATGCACTTGTTTCGCTTTTAGTAAGTTTTAGTAATTATTTGGGCACTCGCTAACAGTACCAACACTGGAGCTGCAAAAACTTGATAATGAAGCGAAATACCTGACAAGCGCGTCCTCCCGGCCAGAGTGCGTGCTGAGTGCTCGCATTTCGCGGAGTACATGACTCGACAGACAGTCGAGTCCATGCCGTAGGACTGGGTGTGTGCTGGTGTTGAAATGGAGGCTGGCGGTGGCAATGACTCGGCTGGTCCAGTGTTGGATTTGAGTCACCTTCAGGAAAATGAGCGGGCGATCATTCTGTCCGTACTACGTCGTGATGAGGAACTTCGCAATGAAGTAGAGGCCAAAGTCAGGTATGTCATTTGTCAGCGCAACAACCAAAAGATTAGTGAGCGTGTATGCACTGGACACCGGACATGTGCGTGCACTGCACGGCCGGTAGGTACATGACTGTATGTGCTGCGTGCAGTAGATGTAATATTTTGCTGAAAAATCCGGCCAATGCTGCATACATCGTAGTGGACTACCATGTGCAGCATTGACCGGATTTTCTTGGCGAGTATAGTAGTACAGTATAGTAGTAGCACCGTGCTGCTCAATGAAATCCAGTCTTGTCACTCAAGACTACGCGCGCCAGGTGTTGCGCAGTCCTAGATCTGCGAACACTGGGCTGCGAAATTGTGCAAGGTGCAAACTTGAGCGCACAGACGACTATCCCTTGAACCTTGGCCCCATGTCAACCACATACATTTCTACCATAATAGAATGTGTACAGGTGCTTAATCCACAGTGAGGTTGTACCACTCGAAGTTAGGCCCGGCAGTTGAACAGCTTGATAGAGTTACGTGAATACTCATATAATTATCATGTATGCATGTGACCATCTGTACTTGCATACATGCTGAGAACTTTGCCTTTATTTGATAACAAATTGGGTGTCGGAATGAAGAATTTGAAAAGCGCAAGAAGGCAATGCTGAATGTAACTGTCTCTACTAGAAGTACATGCATGCTTGTACACATCATTTAAATGTTGTGTACAAGCAGGTGCGTGCCCCGTATGGGTTCCTGGGTGCCCGGAACCCCCCTTTTTCGTTCAAAATACAGGATTTTGCTTCATTTTTTGAACATTTTCCAGGGGGAGGCCTCCCAGAACCCCCCCCCCCCTTTGAAGGGCACCGGCGCACGCGCCTGACAAGCATTCATATAGCAACAGTTTGACAGACCTGTAAGAAAACATTTGCGTTAAAACATCGTACCTGCTCATTAGATTCACTGCAAGCCGGGGATTCGCAGTTCCGAACTTCGTGATGTTGCTGCGGAGCATCGCCTGTTTCCAATGACAGTGTGGGACCTAACCTTTCTCACAACAACCTACGAAGCCATGGTGTCTCTCTAGGAAGCCATGGTGTCTCTCTAGAAAGCCATGGTGCCTCCCAGTCATTTTGTTATCCTCTTAACAGCGTGCAGAGATTGATAACCATCCGCCCCTTTTCGGCCACCATCTGATTCTTCACCAAAACAAGACAAACAGGAGCTACTTCTTATCGTTGCTGTAGTCTATGTGTAGTGCTGTCCTGGATGTACATGTACTTGTGTGGACAAGTAACAGCAGTCGTGTCATCTTCTGATCTGTGCTCTTTCTTTTGCTATCCATGCTTGCCTGGTGCAGGGCAACGGCAGAACGGGTCAAGGAGTCGGGTGCAAAGATTGCATCCCGGCGAAGTGTTCGCGTTAAAGGAAGGCCAGGTACTCGACAGCGTGAGTGTGGCGTATGTGGCGCCGGAGAGGGTGGTGCTTCGACGAGCAAGCTGCAGAACTGCTGCCAGTGCAAGACGCTGGTGTGTGCAGGATGTCGTGAGGTGCTGGGAAAGAAGACCGCCGGTAACTGCCTCTGCGTTGGATGTGCATCGGCAAAGTGAGTCCTTCGGGTCCATACATGTACACATGCACAGTCCTGCTCAATGAAATCAGGTCGCATCACTCAAGTTTTTGCCTTGAACAATTTCGCAGCCCAGTGTTCGCAGGTCTAGAGCTGCGCAACACCCGGCGTGTACTTGAGACGGACCCAACTGGATTTCATTGACCAGCACTGTAATATTCTCAGCTATACAGTTGTCAGGCTGGTCATTCCTCTGCATAGCGTGTAACTACCGTAGAATCCCGCGTATAAGCCCATGCCCGCGCATAAGCCCAGGGTTTGTTCGAACATCACAAAGCTTCATCGTACAAGCCCATGGGCCTAGGTCATACCAAGAGTCCATAAATTATGGACTCTTGGCCATACCATGCATGTAGTACATGCATGGTATGGCCAAGAGTCCATAAATTATGGACTCTTGGCCATACCATGTATGTAGTACATGCACATTATTATATTTATACTTATTACAACATCTCAAGACTCGGTGGAAACACCGGCCAATGTTAAGAGAGTGGGTGATTGCCAACCACGGCGATAAATAAAAGTAAGGGGAGGGAAAAAGAAAGAGTAGCAAAATGAACAGCAACAACAACTCCGTAAAGAAAGATAATGTCAAATAAAAACAGTAAAAAACACAGAGACGCAAAGGACATGTGGATAATGAGCTATTTATGTCGTAGTAAATAAGGGGCGGCACGGATCTTAAACAGGCGGTTATAGTTTTCTTCGTACATTTCAGCACAGTCATCGGTTGTTTTTGTTTGCACAGTGGTTTTCAGCAATGTACTTCTCACTTCCTTGATATTTTTCAATAGCACAACTTGGTGTCGGCGTATAAGCCCATGCCCGCGTATAAGCCCATGTTCTCGTATAAGCCCACCGACATGTCCTTGTGAAACAGATAAGCCCTTGGGCGTATCTGCGGGATTCTACGGTATTTCAAGTCATACGTCCACTTCCTTGCATGTAAGTGCACCGATCGCATACTGTAAGTTTAGAAATTTTCGGCACATTCAAATTTTGGCCTCCCAGGGCTAAAACCCATTTCGGCTGCATCAAATTTTCGGCCTGTACTGCTGCCGCCTGTATACCCCGTCACACTGAACCTTGCAAAATTTCGGTCACAACAAATTTTCGACCAAACATGACCAGATCGAAAATAGCCGAAAATAAAAATATGTGCCGAATAGTTGTTGACTTTCAGTAGCTCATTATTCTGTAGGGCTAAGAGTCATATGAGTGTGGCCATCACGGTGGCTCCCCGTTGCATGACTGCCCTGTGAGCATGCCACTCCTTGTTGTGTAAGGATAATGATATGACCATGTGATTCTGGTGTAATGATTCTACTAATGTGCTGGGTCATGTGATCTTCTGCTCTAGGTCTTATCTTGTACATGTGCTGGGTCATGTGATCTTCTGCTCTAGGTCTTATCTTGTACATGTGCTGGGTCATGTGATCTGCTGCTCTAGGTCTTATCTTGTACATGTGCTGGGTCATGTGATCTTCTGCTCTAGGTCTTATCTTGTACATGTGCTGGGTCATGTGATCTGCTGCTCTAGGTCTTATCTTGTACATGTGACCGACCGTCAGCTGTACATTGATTTGATCTTGCTCTACACCGTACAACAATGTGATGCATAGGGATGCTGACTCTAGTGTAGTAAATACGGATGCTGAGTGCCGTACATGTCGTGAAAAGTTGACTTTGCTGACCCCAAATTCTAGTAATTCTCGATTCTACTTTCTCTTGATTTGGCCGTTTTGGTCACAGTGCACTTCTACGTTGTATGATTGAGATTTCGGCATGCCTTTATTCTAGCCCAGGTCATGACCATACATGTACATGTGTGTGTGTGTATGTGTGTGTGTGTGTGTGTGTGTGTGTGTGTGTGTGTGTGTGTGTGTGTGTGTGTGCATGTGCGTGTGTACGTGTGTGTGTGTGTGTGTGTGTGTGTGTGTGTGTGTGTGTGTGTGTGTGCATGTGCGTGTGTACGTGTGTGTGTGTGTGTGTGTGTGTGTGTGTGTGTGCACGTGTGTGTATGTGCAGGAAGATGAGGTTCCTCAGCGGAGAGTGGCTATTCGGTAGCTCTCCCTCTGCTGAGCAGAAGAAGCAAGACACGTTTGGCAGTGGTCTGATACGCAAGTCCATCTATCGCACCAAACCGAAAAAGCCGAGAAAAGGTGAGATCATTCAAGTTAGAATGTATGCCAGTATTTCGCGTATTCCCACCGGGTGTGCAGCCTCTATAGAGGCGGTAGTGCAGTTTCGGGAGCAGGCAGCTTGGCTTCATTACATTCTGCATTTGTAAAGCCATGTGTAATCTGTGCTGTACTGTGTGCCAATGCTATGCTTGGTGCTCTGTGTGTTACTATGTGTTACCATGACTGTGTTGCTATGTGTTACTATGTGTGTACGTCTACTGAGCATGCAGTATTCAGCATGCAGCACCACTTGCAGGGAGTCTGGGGCCGTGCAAGTCCAAGGGGAGGAATATACACCCTGGGTTGAATATCACCTACCACAACTGTGCATTTTAAAACGTCAATGTTCAGTGGAAGCGTGTTGCAACGACAGCACCTGATGTCCTATTCATTTTATCTTTGTGTGTGTTTTTCTGTGTACTCAGACTATGAGCCTTCACTTTGGTCACCTGCTGAATATAGCATGGGTGAGATTCCTAAACCGTCTGAAGAAGCATTACCAGAGGGCGGTGAGCCCTCAAAGCGGACAGCGCCAGCAGTTCAGGTACAGCAAGCAGAGCACACGGACCCGCCAATAAACGGGGAATTCCCCAAGCAGCTAGAGCCAGCGAAACAGTCAGAACCGTCAGCGGAGGTTGAACGGCCAAATCACGGTGGAGAAGAAGAGCAGCCAGCGTCCGCACCTATTCCGCCAGAATTCCACAGTGAACGCTGTAATGCAGAATCCCACAGTGAACGCTGTAATGCAGAATCCCACAGTGAACGCTGTAATGCAGAATCCCACAGTGAACGCTGTAATGCAGAATCCCACAGTGAACGCTGTAATGCAGAATCCCACAGTGAACGCTGTAATGCAGAATCCCACAGTGAACGCTGTAATGCAGAATCCCACAGTGAACGCTGTAATGCAGAATCCCACAGTGAACGCTGTAATGCAGCAGCTGTTACTATACAGTCCTGCTGGAGAGCTGTTAGACTGGGGCGTGAACAGCGGGCACAGTACATGAAGACATGGAGCGCCGCAAGACTCATCCAGCAGTGGTGTCGAGTCAGGCAGTGTCGTCGTGATTTCCTGAGACGCAGATCAGCAGCCCGATGCCTGCAGTCCCAGTGGAGAGCGTTCAACGCTGGCAAGGATGAGCGGTTACGCTACCAGAAACAGAGATGTGCCTGCATTGCCATTCAAGCACAAACACGCGGCTTGCTACAACGTCATGACTATGCCAGGAAACGCTACGCTGCCATCTGCATTCAGCAGCGCTGGAGAGCACGCGTTCAGGGTCAGTCTTGCCGTGCAGAGTTTGAACGCAAGCGCAACGCCTGCAGAACACTACAACAGCACTGGATAGCTCACAGAGCAATGATTGTGGAACGGAGGAAGTTCTTGAAACAGCAGACTGCATGCATCACACTACAGCGATCCTGGAGGAACTACAAACGCAAGTGTCTGGTGAAAGCTATGTCCAGGAAGAAGACTACACTGGAAAGCTGCGAGCAAAGTCTAACAGTACCTAAGCAGGGAGATAGAAGAAAGCTGTCATCAAGGCGACGACTACCGGCAAAGAAACTCGGACGGGAGCTTGACGCCGACAACAGTAACCATGGCAACACTGACCCTGCACAACCTGGCGAGCAGCATCGGAAATCTCGACTGAGTACAAGCAGACGACGTCATTACCAAGACACCGGTGGTGATGTCATGGAGGAGCCACAGGAACCTATGATGTCACCTAACCAGCATGAGCAGTTGTCACATGATCTGGAGCAACATAGTGAAGATGTACTGGGACATACTGAAACTGGCGAAGGGCAACACGCAGGGGTATCGTTGATGGCGGAGCTACAACAAGCCAATGCTATTCAGTCATCTGATCCTGTTTTACTCGATGATGTAGAACAGCTAAAGAAAGAATCCGCTGCAGTGACTGTCATACAAGCTCAGTGGAAAGCCAAGAAAGCCCGAGATAGACAGCGAGACACGTACCTGATGTTGAAACGCTCATCAACTGTAATACAATGGTGGTATCGATCATGGATAATAGCTAGGCAGTGCCGTCGTGATTTCCTGAGACGCAGATCAGCGGCCCGATGCCTGCAGTCCCAGTGGAGAGCGTTCAACACTGGCAAGGATGAGCGGTTACGCTACCAGAAACAGAGATATGCCTGCATTGCCATTCAAGCACAGACACGCGGCTTGCTACAACGTCATGACTATGCCAGGAAACGCTACGCTGCCATCTGCATTCAGCAGCACTGGAGGGCACGCGTCCAGGGTCAGTCTTGCCGTGCTGAGTTTGAATGCAAGCGCAACGCCTGCAGAACACTACAACAGCATTGGAGAGCTCACAGAGCAATGATTGTGGAACGGAACAAGTTCTTGAAACAGCAGACTGCATGCATCACACTACAGCGGTCCTGGAGGAACTACAAGCGCAACTGCATCCTGAAGAAGCGAGCTGACAAGAAGAAGAGGAAGCGGGCAGCCCAGGCGGAGGGTGCCGGTTTGTCCACACCATCACGTTCACTGCATCGTTCTGGTCGTGTACTACGTAGTAATCAGCGCCGAGGTACTGGTAAATATCACAAGGATCACGACGAAGTGGATACTGCTGTTGTGAATGATGATGATGGTGGTGGGCCCGCTGGCAATGGTGCAGATGACAAAGCTTCTGAGGAGACTGATGGAAGCATGACTGTGCCGGATGGTGGCAGCGTTTCCACGTTTGTCGTCGAGGACGTCATGGCTCCTGCAGTTGCACACCTGGTTGAGGAAGTTGGCTCGGCTGCTATTCAAGCCACCTTGCCCCTTGTGGCTGCCGAGAACTCTACAACCACCCAGAACACACACAGTGGAGATGGAGAAGACGACGAACATCTGCAACCCAGGAGAAGAGACAGACGCAAGGTGACGACATCAAGACGCCGCCCTGACAAGCAGGCTGAGAGTTCTCCAAGCACTGCTGCTGCAGCAGGCGACGCAGAGAGCGAACAATTTGCGACTATGCCGCAGTCCAGGAACAGGAAACATTTGAGTGTAAGCAGACGCCATCGAGGTCACACGGGTGATGAGTCGCCTGCGGATGATTTACCGCCTGCCGACGATAGCTCAACCAGAGAACAAGTTTCAGTAACTCTAGCAAAGAATGCGCACACACCATCAGCAAGTCAAGATCAAGATCAAGATGAGTTATCTTCCAAACCCAGTAGCAATAGTCCAGATGAAAGTCTAGGTCAGCGGCGCAGAGGAACGAGAGCAGATAGAGATCGGCGGAAATTGGCAACTAGCCGAAGACGACGAAATGCTGATCCCGTGGAACAAGGCAATACAGAGCAGACAGAATCCCAGCTTCAACGTGACAATGCTGATGAAAGCCAACAGACAGAGGCTGCAGCGGACGAGGACGCCAGGAGGGCTCAGTACTCTGCGGCAACTATCGTACAGCGGAACTGGCGAATGGCCCGTGCGCGACGGAACTACAAACAAGCAAAGTGTGCAGCAATCACCATACAGGCACAATGGCGTGCCCACTTACTGCAGCGCGAGATGTCAAGCAACTACCAAGTGCTGCGCAAAGCAGTGATAGCGGTGCAGGCGTTCTGGCGGTGTAAGAAAGCCAGGGATGCTTACCTCAACCTACAGCAGGTCACCATGGCAATGCAGCACCGTCGACGTCAGCTCAAACTGGCAAGAAGCGATCGAAGTCAGTACGTGAAGCAGCGAACTGCCTGCATCACAATCCAACAGCATTGGAAAGCCTGCAAGGTTGGCCACACACAGCATGTAGAGTACCAGCAAGTATTGAAGGCATGTCGTGTGGTACAAGCACACTGGCAGGCTACTTTGCTAGCTCGTAGAGACAAGCAGTGCTATGTTGAACTACGAAAGGCAGCAGTCGTGTGTCAGCAATACGTCCGCGGCAAACAACTGGCAAAGAGAACGCAGGTGCAGTATCTGACCCAGCGCAACGCCTGTATCTGCCTGCAACGCCATCTCACAGCCACGCTAGCCTCTCGCACACAGAGGCACCACTACTTGCAGGAGCGACAGGCAGTAGTTCATGCCCAGCAGCGAGCTCGGGCTACCATCACAGCACGTCATCAACGTCAAGTGTTCCAGCAGCAGAAGACGGCGGCTACTCGACTGCAGGTACGATGGAGAGCAACTCTCCTGGCTAAGCACGACCAACAGGAGTACAACAAAAAACGTCAAGCGTGTGTCCTGTTGCAGTCACACATCCGCCGACATCTTCAGCAGAAATCTTTCCAAGCAGAACGACAGCTGGTTGCCAGGCAATGCCAGCGTGATGCTGAGCTTGTCGCGCGGCAAGAGTCAGCAGCACTGACTATTCAGTCCTGGTGGAGAATGGTGCAGGCGCTCTCTGATTACAAACACCAGTACAAATCCGTGGTGCTGCTGCAGAGCTTGGCAAGACGGCAAGTATGTCTCAGAGCGTACCAACATCAGCGGACGCTGCTTGTCAGGTTGCAGCATCGCCGCAGAGCCACTGTCGAGATGAGGGCATGCATGCGTCAGTATCAAACAACACGCAGGCATTGCATTCACCTGCAAGCTGTCACCCGTGGCTGGATAGTGCGTCGCCGACATGCTAAGGAATGCCAGGCTGCTCTCCGCATCCAGGCAGCGTGGCGTGGAGCGAAGCCCAGAAAACAGTACAACAGAGTGCGATGTGCTACACGATGCATGCAGAAGCAGTGGCGTCGACGCCAGCTGCTGAAGAGCCTGAGCGATCGGGAGCTTGCAATGCTGACCAGTGCAAGTAAAGTGTTACAGACACGATGGCGAGGATACTGGACACGCAAACACTACAAACGTATGCAACAATCCGTCGTTCAGCTGCAATCCTGGTGGCGATGCCAGTACCACTCACAGCGCTATCGGAGACTCCACAAAGCCGTAGTTCTGATACAGTCACACATCCGTATGTACAAACAGTCGAAGGCCTATCGGCAACAGAAGCATTGCGCCAGTACCGTGCAAGCTCATTGGCGTGCATACAAAGCAGGTACTCGACAGCATGCGTTGTACACCAGAACACGACTAGCGTGTGTGAAGATCCAGGCCGCGTACCGCGGGCATGCAGTACGTCAGAGGAACGTGCGTGAGAACAAATGCGCTACCGTCATCCAATCGGCATTCAGATGTCACCAACAGCAACGGCAATACCAGTCTACGAGACAACACATCATTGCCATGCAGGCATGCATACGTGCCTGCTTGGTCCGTCGCAGAGCTGCCCAGCGCAAGACCTCTATTGTTGCACTACAGTCTTGTTGTCGTGGCTACCTGTCGCGGAAACGCCTGTCCAATCAGCATCGTGCCGCTACTCTGTTGCAGTCGTCATGGAGACGGCGTGTGACTCAGCAGCGGTACTGTGCACAGCGTCGTGCCACCGTGCGTCTACAAGCGATCGTCAGGGGATACATTCAGCGCGTGCGGACTGCGGCACTGAGGAGACAGCGGTGCAGTGCAGCAGTGCGTATCCAGTCCTATTGGCGAGGTCATCACACCACAGTTCAGTACAGGCAGCAGCGTGACACGATTGTGTTGCTACAGTCCGTGTGCAGAGGTTATCTAGTCAGAATGGCTATGGTGCAGCAGTGCGCACGGCGTGTGAAAGCGGCTACCTGTCTGCAGTCGGTATGGCGCGGTCACACTGCACGTAAAGCTTATCACAGTCAGCGCAGGTCTGTTCTTGTTCTGCAGAGTCACTGCAGGCGCTACTTACGGCATCGCGAGCACAACACGCTACGCCAACAGCAACGGAAAGCGGCAGTGGTGCTGCAGTCAGCATGGCGAGCTCGTCACGCTCGGCAACGGTATATCAGTACACGTCACGCAGTTATCCGGATACAGGCCCAATGCCGAGGACATCTTGCACGGCGCTTGTACAACACTCAGTTACGTGATCACACGCAGGCAGCTATTACCATTCAAGCTGCATTCAGAGGCTTCACGGCTAGACAGATGTACAGTAGACAGATGCTAGACAGTAGACAGATGTACAGTAGACAGATGCTAGACAGTAGACAGATGCTAGACAGTAGACGGTATCAACAGGTTGTACTATTGCAGGCTGCCTGTCGGGGTACTTTGCAGCGGCTGGCCCTCAACCGCTTCATTCAGAGACGAGAGCGCTCAGCTTTGTTGATTCAGGCTTGCTGGAAGGGATATGCTCAGTGGCGACGTTACACAACTCTGCAATATCTAGTGATTCAAATGCAGGCTCACTCTCGTGGGTTTGTTCAGCGACAGGATTTCCGGTCAACTATTCGAAAACGTGAAAAAGCGTCCATTGTTCTTCAGGCATCCTGGCGAAGGCACTCGGCGCAAGGGAAATTCACAAAGACCCGTGACATCATTAGTAGATTCCAAGGTGCATGCCTGGGCTATTTGCTACGACAGCAGATCAGCTGGCAGTTGTCGCGTCGCAAGAAGTCTGCCGTGAAAATACAAGCTTGTTACCGTGGATACCAGCAACGCTGTGTGTATTTGAAAATGAAACCATTGCGCGTAACTGCAAGTCATGACAATGACGGGGATGAAGGTGAAGCACGGTCCGAATCGCGAGCCCCTCCGATTGTGGACTTACCTCCTGCCGATGGTCTAGTAGCTGAGCCTTCTGAAGCCAGTGGTCCATCACCGCGTACCGGTAAGCGTCTCGGTAGAACACGAGCACTGAAACGTCGCCCTGCACCTTCCGGGGAGCAGGCTGCTGACACAAGGGCATCACCCGAGGTCTCCCGAGCAGCCAAGGCAGACGATGATGACCGTGTGTTCAGCTACATGGATGTACCGCAGACACCGACTCTCAGCCACCTGACCACCAACAGGGCTAAGAATCCTCGGACACATCGCCTGCCCTCGCGTGAGTTCCGTGTTCAGCAAGCTCAACGACAGGATGAAGAAGAGGACGACACGGTCAATGTGGCATCAGCAGAGGACGATCAGCAGCCTGGTGACAACACTTTAATAGATTCTGATGACAAACCATCAGAAATCATGTCTTCACCCACAGCCACTAGCAGTAATGTAGAAAGAGCATCAAAGTCGACACGGCCCGCAGGTGCCTTCGCCTTGCCTGGCATGGTACCTAGTGTTCCAGTAGCAGCAGCAGCAGGTAACAATCATCAGCCTGCTACTCTAGGCAAGCCCAAACATGGTGGAGTTCTGCTGCCCGGTATGCCGGCTATGGCCGACATCACAGCATCACCGCTCTTCAAGAGAAACGCTGCCGCTGAAGAACCTCAACGTGACGATGCACAGGCAAAGAAGGCTCCCCCTGCAGCACCTAAGCCCAAGCCTAAGCCCAAGACACTAAAACAGCAGCCATCGACCGAGAATGATGTACAGTGCGAGGAAACACCATCAACTGACCAGGTAACCAGATCACCAATCAGCGCTGGTGACAGCAAGCAGGATGAAAACACCGTGCATGGAATTGAATCCTCAGCTAAGGACAATGCAAAGGAGAATAATGATACACCAAGGAAAGGTGGTGATGGTCAAGATGATGATCTTGATACGATGGGCTCTCCGCGCCTATCGTCATCCTCCGTGAGCCGGCAAGCTCGTGGCAGGAAGCTGGGTGGTCGCAGGCAACGGCCAAGTGTCTTGCGGCAAGGTGGAAACGGTCCGGAAATGGCACACATGACTGCTGGTGCTGGTACTGCTGCTGGTACTGGTGATGGGGAAGATGCCATGGCTCAGAGTGTCACGGCAGCTACTGCCACAGCGAGTGGAATTCAGGCAACAGAGGTAGAGGAAGCCGGTCAGAACAAAGCTGCCGATGACAGTTCTCCTGTTGACATAGAGAGCAGCAGCAAGACAGTGGATGAGAATGAAGATGATCATGACGTCGTGCTGGATCAACTGCAGCCAACACACTCTGTGAGTCAACACAACCGAGGCCGGAAGCTGGGAACACGCCGACAGAGGCAGAAGGGAGCTACCAAAGGAGGTGATGCTAGCCCTCGGGCTGCACGTGATGATGGCGAAGAGAAGGCAGGTTTGGATGCAGACACTGCTCCAGCAGTCTGCACTGCTGATGCTGCTGTCCTGGAGACCACCAGTAGCAACAGCAACAGCAGTCAGATTACCGAGTCAACCGAACCGGACACTTCACAGACTGGCAATGCTATGGCAATCCGGCACGGCGACACTCCGGAGATTGACAATGCTAATCAAGCTGAGAGTACCGTGAGTAGAGAAAGCACGGGTGAGAATACGAGTGTGGAGACCAGTGTGGAGACTAGCGTGGAGGCTAGCGTGGAGGCCAGTGTGGAGACTAGTGAAAAGACGAACAGTGACAACGACGAGGAAGAAACGGACAATGCGTCGGAGACGAATAGCAAGTCCTTCTCCAAGATGCGACGTCAGAATGTACGCAGACGTCCACCAGGTCAAAGTGGCGTTGACCGCAGGCGGGTTGGCAGTGGCTCAGCTGCCACTGCTACTAGTGATGCTGGACATGAATCAGGGCATGCGCGGGCAGAGCAGGATCAAGCAGAGACTACTGAAGACTCTGTTGCATCTCTTCCAGAGTCGCAAACACAGCGCAGTGGATCTAACGTGACGGGCAAGGATGTGGAGTTACTGGATCAAGCACGCAAGTCTGCACTGGCCAAAGCTCGAGCAAAGAAGGCTGCTCAGAAACTGACAGGAACAGGAACTGGTGCAGATCCAAAGGTAATTACTACAATGACAGATAGCTCATGTGCAAGTGCAGAGTGAAAGTACAACCTTCTCCTGGAAAGAACCTTATGTCTGGTGAGATTTTCCAATGAGATTTACACACAGCAGCTCTGTGAGGTAGCCATGTGCCGGCTGAGAGCGCACGGAGGAGGAGAGATGGTTGCGTTAGCTCTATAAGGTAGCCATGTGTCGGCTGAGAGCGCACGGAGGAGGAGAGATGGTTGCGTTAGCTCTGTAAGGTAGCCATGTGTCGGCTGAGAGCGCACGGAGGAGGAGAGATTGTTGTGTTAGCTCTGTAAGGTAGCCATGTGTCGGCTGAGAGCGCACGGAGGAGGAGAGATGGTTGCGTTAGCTCTGTACCTTACACTAGCATTCTAATGTAGTGGTGCATGGCCGCAGCGCAACTGCATGGCCGCAGCGCAACTGCATGGCCGCAGCGCAACTGCATTCGGTAGCGTGATCAGTGGTAAGCGTGCAGTAGCTAAGCATGGAGGCTTTATACAATGAAATATGCACAACATGACATGCACTATGCCTGCAAGTGCAGGTCGTCAGGTCGTCACCTTCAATGTCTCCGACTGCTTGCATGTTGCCACTTGGGATACTGCAGGGTGGCATGAGTGCCACAAGATGCATGAACCGCAGTACTAGCTACTGCAGTATTGTAATAATACCTTTGGGTGAGTGTTTTTTGCCTGATATGCTTCCTCTGTACACTACTGTACAGGCAGAAAATTTCGTCGGTCAATAATTTCGTCCAACTCCAAAGAAAGGGATTTCGTCCGGTTGAAAATTTAGTCCATGGACTATAACAGTGTATTGAAACGCTGGACAAATCGACATTCGTCCGGCATTTAATTTAGTCCCAAAGCTCCTTGGACGAAAAAGACGAAATTAAATTCCAGACGAATAGTTCTGCTAGAACAGTGCTTGTATACCGCTACGCAATAGCGCCCTGTTATGTTAGGAATTAGTTGCTATGGTTCGGATTTAGGAGGTTCGTTCCTATCTCAGATCTGTATAAATTCTCTCACGTTAACGTCCTCGTGTTCCTTCTCCTGATCCCATACAAGGATACTGCTGGTGTAACAGACGGCACTGAAGCAGCTGTAGGGAGCAGCCAGCAATCAGGGGAGAGACATTCCTCCGTGTCTTCCACCGGCTCACGGTCATCGAGTTCTAGTCGTTCGGGCTCTCTGTCCAGGAGCTCATCACGATCACGTCTGTCATCTCTACTTCAGAAGGTATATGCATACATAATCTTACTACATTTGTGCTGTATGCCAAACTATTGCTTATGTTGCCAAGCAAAGCATGAGTGTATACGCACGCGCGTATGTGTGTTTATGTGTGTGTATGGGTGTCTGGCTGCGCGCGCACGTGCGCGCGCGTGTGTGTATATGTGTGTGTGTGTTTAAAAAAGAAAGAAAGAAGAAAGCCAAAAAGTAGGGATTCACTGGCCAGAAAAAACCACTTCATAGCTGTGTGGTGTAGACCAGGCTGAACAGTGGCGGTCATTTCTTCAGCCTTGCAAGCTGTTGAATGGTGCAATCCCAGCACAAGTTGCTATGGCTTCTGCTGTAGCATCGCTATCATCACCTCCGGCGATGGGCGTCAAATGGTCAAAACTCATTGGTGTGTGCTTGTGTCTATATGTGTATGTGTGTCTTTGTCTGTGTGTGTGTCTGGCTGCGCGCGCTTGCATGTGTGTATGTGAGTATGTGCGTCTTTGTCTGTGGTAACTGGGCATAACCAACGCACGGGCAGTACGTGCACATGTGGCAATAACCGACATCTCTCCTGCTGCCCCTGCACAACTCCTGCGCGACCAGTGCTGTGTTCAGTCCTATTACCATAACATGTACGTGTACATGCTGTCCGATAACTTACAACTGACCAGTCTGACTGTGTGATGTTATGCCGGCATTCCCAATGTGCAGAGGAAATCAGCAGCAGCAGTGGGAGAAGAGGTGGGCGCTATCAGCATCAGTCTCAAGCTAACAGCACCCAAGACATCCAAGAGTGCGCAATTGTCTCTGGAGATTCTCGTCAAGGGAGTGGCGGATCTGCAAGTTGATCCTCCTCCGGATACGTATGTCAAAAGGTAAAACAGACCATACGTAAAGCCGGGAAATTTACCCCAAACCGGGAAATTCACACTAACCCGGGGAGTAAACACCACTGCGTTACTCTCCTGGTTGCTGAAATAATACTTTGATCGACGTCTCTCATTTCAGGTCTGAATGATTTCTTTTCTGCAGTTATCTCCTGCCAGACACGAAAACAAAATCCAAGACCGCAGTGTGTTCATCGTCTTCCAGCCCAAGTTGGAATGAGACATTGGTGTTCTCCAAGGTATCGTTGGCTGATCTGTCCAAGTCAGTGCTGGAGGTGACGCTGTGTTCGCATTCACGTCTAGGGCGATCCGACACCCTGGCTGGTGTTCGCATCGGATTCACGCCAGCAGGGTAAGTCCCCACAGTCTTTGCAGCACTCTGCCGCTCTGCCATATTTAGCAGTGCCCTGCTACATGTGTATTTAACAGTGCTCGCCATGTATGGAAGCACTATATTATATGTACAGTTGTGGCCAAAGAAATCTGACCCAAGTGCCAAAAGCAGCGCCAAGGCTCTTGTGGCGCATGTGACCCTCCGCCTCGGATCGGGTTTTGAACGTGCATGATGGAATAGAATTGGAAAGGCGGCGCTACTTTTGACACGATTTTCTTTGGCCACAACTGTAGCAGTGCTCTGCCATATACAGCGAGTGCTACATCAGTTAAGAGCATGAATAGCTGCAAAATCTCTGAAAATTTGGTCTCGATCTGACCAGCCGTTCAAGAGTTCTGGCCGAAAATGTGCCCTTGCAAGGAAAGATTTTTTGTTGCACGCTGTCATTTTTTGGCAGCACTGTATTTGAATGTGAGCAGACCGTGCGCAACTTGTCGTATCATGGAAACACGCGAAAGTGTGCAGATTTTGCTCCAAGTCCAAAAAATCACGTTTTTTAGCCATGTATTGGGCTGCGCCGCCGCCGTGCAGCAGGACTTTTGCCAGCACCCTCGTGACGTTGCAGATATGTGGCTTGATTATTGTAGTTGACGTTGATTTAGTGACTTTGGCAAGTTTGAGTCGTGTCAAGAAGTCAGGTAGAATTCAGTACTAGGCAGTAGTGGAACGTGAGTGGTAGTCTTTGCCGATTTTTGAGGGTGTCCTGGATTTGGTTTGCAGCGCTGTGGAAATGGCTTGCTGTGGAGGTCCCAGCACTGGATGTTGTATCAAAGGTATGACCTCGTAGCACGCCCTAAACCTAAAAAAATTCAAAAATTGACTTGGGTCTGTGGGAGTCTGTGAGAGAACGCCCACTCGTACCGTTGTGACAGATTCCAGGGCCACATTGAGGGGCTATACCCCACCACCCATGGCTGCTTCTGGACTTTTTTTAGATTTGGATTCCGCGCACGGACAAAATGGGCAAGAAAATGTGAAAATATTGTAAATGCATTTTTTGGCTCCTGGGTGACTCGCACACCGTGGCACTATGCCGGAATTTTGAGTTTTTTCGGCCTGGAAAGCCTGTCAGTGAGGCGCAAGAACGTTTAAATCATGTCCAGAGGGCCAGCATAGTGGCAGGAGTGTGTGGTGAAAATTTCACTCAAGTCCATAGAGAGACACCAAATTTACGGACAATTGAATGCCACATGAAATTTATGGGTAGGCTGCTACCTTTTAAGGTGTGTAACCCTACATGAAAGTAAGCAACCTGTTGCCGCGCCCAGAACCCCCCAGGGTCGTCACCCAAACCCCATGACTGTCACCCGCACCTCAGGTCTGGGTGCCCGCACCCCAGGGCCCAGGTCTGGGCGCCCGCACCCCAGGGCCCAGGTCTGGGCGCCCGCACCCCAGGGCCGTCACCTGCACCCTAGCTCACTTCTGTATCCTCGCTTGTCGTCACTTGAAGCCAGGTGAAGCTTGACCAGCGGTTATACTACACGATTGGAAGGCTGTACTTGCACCTACTTGTAACTCAGCGATGTACTGCTGTACTTGCACCTACTTGTAACTCAGCGATGTACTGCTGTACTTGCACCTACTTGTAACTCAGCGATGTACATGCAGGGTTCATTCGTTCACAAAGACCTTGCAATTTGGTGTATTCGATCATGATGACAATAACAAGGACAGCAACAACAATGATTTGTTTCTTCAAGATAAATCACTATCTGTCGAGTGGATTACTCTAAACTCTCCACTCTCCACTCTACACTCACAGTGACGATAGTGATTGAGAAACATTACTGTTAGGCTGTGTTTACATGAGAAATTTCAACCCGGGTCGAGTTCAGCCCGGGTTGAAAGTCTGTACGATAGACAAAACAGGTGGGCGTTTACATGAAGACAGATGACCCGGGTCAAATACTGATATGCCGCCAAAAGTCCACTTCTAGAATCCTGTATGGTCACGTGAATCCGTTCGCGCGAAATTTGCATGTGCGGTGCTGTTCAAACCAGGCGCGAGATACGTTTGTACGATTTTCTTGACCCGGGTTGATTTCAACCCGGGTCAAGCGCAATGCGTCATGTAAACGCGCCATTCATTTTGTACACATGGCGGGTTGAAATCTGACCCGGGTCGAACTCAACCCGGGTTGAAACGCCTCATGTAAACACAGCCTTAGTTGACTTGGGCAAGTCAGTTTTGGTGTAACTTTGTCTTGGACACACTTGTGTAATGCTGACTGGGTTTACTTGTGTTGTCGATTGCAGGGTGTCTGACAGCAGCACAAAGTCAGTCGCTTGGCGGGACTGCACCGAGGAGGAGGGCACGGCTTGGAAGCAGCTTCTTTCCAGCGTGCCGGAGCAGTGGTTGGACGTGTCACTGCCACTCAGGCAAATATCTCAGCGCTGACGATACATGCTTGTGTGTGTGCATGTGTGTGTGTGTGTGTGTGTGTGTGCATGCGCGCGTGTGAGTGTGCGTGTGTGTGTGCATGCGCGCGCGTGTACGTGTGCGTGCGCGTGTGTGTTTTTGTGTGTGGTGTGTGTGTGTGTGTGCGTGCGCGTGTGGTGTGTGTTTGTGTGTGTGTGTGTGTTTGTGTGTGTGTGTACGTGGTGTTTGTTTGTGTGTGTGTGTTTGTGTGTGTGTGTGCGTGCGTGCGCGTGTGTGAGTGTGGTGTGTGAGTGTGCGTGTGGTGTGTGTTTGTGTGTGTGGTGTGTTTGTGTGTGTGTTTGGTGTGTGTGTGTGTGTGTCATGCGCGCGCGTGTAAGTGTGCGTGTGCGTGTGTGTTTTGTGTGTGTCTGTGTGCGTGTGCGTGTGTGAGTGTGCGTGTGGTGTGTGTTTGTGTGTGTGTGGTGTGTTTGTGTGTGTGTGTGGTGTGTTTGTGTACATTCATGCACATGTGCTTGCGTCCGTGGCATGTACGTGTGTGTTTGAACTGGAAACTGAAACTAATGATGGTAGAAACATTTGTTTGTTCCTCGCCAGTACTTACTTGAGCTCATTGAATCCAAGAAGGTCAACGTAAAACACCCTTTTCCGCGTATCTTTATTTTATCATGCCAAGATTTCTATCGTGCATTTGCTTGCTTCCCCACAATCAATTTCTCTATACTCAGCCCCGGAAATCCCTCCATCCCTTGAAAGCTTACGTCAGCCACACATCTACCGACCACTGAAATATTTCTCTCCTAAATGTTTGCGCCTCGGTATCAGAACTCTCATTGTCCGTCTCGGACCGGATTCTACCTGCCCTTTCCCCAATATCGAATATTTTCTGCTTTTACGTTCCCTCGTGCTTCTTGGCACCTTCATTCACTTCCTTGTTATTGGGCACTTTCGATTGAACAGAATGAACGGATTGCGGCCATGTAAACAAACTACTACACGTAAAATTCGTAAAAGGGGATTACGTGGGATCCCTTACACCCTCGCGCACACGTGGACCTAGCATGACGTGTACGTCGAGCGCATAAATTCTGGTGGGAGAATTGGCAATTCCGCCGACGGAATTTGTGTAATCGAACAGTGCATCGACCATAACTAATTCTAGAATTGACCGAAATGTGTGTAATCGAATGCGCCCATTGAGTACCTCTGCTCGTTTAGTCGCTGCGAATTAAAATAAAATCAAGCAACACCATCTCCCCTTCCGTTGGGCGTCAATGAAGGTCAAGATCAAAGGTGTGTGAGGCGGGGGGGGGGGGGGGGGGGGGGTACTCTGTGTAATAGCTACAGTTTCGCGCGCGCGCGCGCGCGCGCGTGAGCAGCTGTATTGTATTCACAGTAACCATGGTGACCGAGATGAGGAGCTTAATTGCTTTCAATCACAAAAGCAGCTCAAGTACTGCCTCAAATGCTTGGATTGAGATGCTGCTGCAGTTTGGTTTAGGTTGTCTCTGATCAGATCAGGGTACACCATAGCCTGGCATAGGTCTTGGAAGGGCTATTACAAGGCGAGCTCACAGCCATGACAACTAGCCATTGGCGGACTATGCTCGGCCAATCGTCAAATTATGCTTTTGATTATGCCACAATTATGCCAACAAATATGCTGAATTATGCTCGGTTCCACTATGTATTCACGCTGTACAGAGAGGATTGAGAAACCACGCATACACACACGGCCATGCCCTAAGCATAATTTTTGTCTAAACCGAAAGATTATGCCGACCTTACACATTGAAATCCGTATATTATGCCGGAGCGTAATTTTTTGACGAAATCCCAAGATTATGCCAAATGTTATGGCGGCATAATCCGCCAAGGGCTAATGACAACGCCGTGGAAGTGGGGATCCACTCGGATCCAGTTTTTTAATGGATCCATACAAATTCGGGTAGTTTCCCTTCAGAGGCTAGTGACATATCAAAAGTCACACCTGCGGGCGACACGAGGGACCCACCCACCACATCACAAAGCAAAACAATGTAATGAACTCGGATGTAAAGCCAATGTAATCATGGATAAAACAATGAATCAACAGCATAAAAATAACAAAAGCCAGAAAGATGCATTCAAGCCAAGTCCGCTTCTGTCTCCTTATTACTGCTAGAAGCAACTATAAAAAGAGCAAAACTATGAATCAATAGCATAAAATTAATGACAAAAACAAAAACCAGAAAAGATACTTCGAAGTACATTCAAATCAAGTCCGCTTCTGTCTCCGCAGCTCCGTATTACTGCTAGCGGCAACTACATGTATAAAAAGAGCAAAACTATGAATCTATAGCATAACAATGACAAAAACCAGAACAGATACATTCAAACCCAGTATGCTTCATGCACAGTCTAGTCCAGCAAGTCTGCTTCATGCACAGTCTCCAAACCAGCAAGTCTGCTTCATGCACAGTCTCCATACTCGCAGCAGCAGCAGCGGGAAAAGGGCAAACTACTGTGACAAAATGACAGTGAATCAACACTCGGCATAAACTAAAAAGAAAAAAGCTCAAGACCTGTGTAATGTTACAAAGTCTGATCTCCATTTTGGTTTGACGGTTGCTAAGGACCATAGTAGTACACTGTACATAGTCAAAAGCCGCAATCCTCTTTACTGTGACTTTAGTGGAATGTTGCGGCTAACCAAGGCATATGAAAAATACACTTCAACGTATAATACAATATACATGACTGATTGTACACTGCGGTTTGCAAAGAAGTTTCTAGGCAAAGCCAGCGTGTTCCTAAGCAGAGTGCCGTCGAGTGACCAGTGGCAGTAATGGGTTCTGGCCCTTAATTAATCCGCAGCAAGCACAGATGACCATCTCGGATTTTGTCAACGAGTAAAGAAATGACCCTTGCGGATTCGTTCCAATCACTGGCTAGTAAAGCAATAAGAGGACCACGAGGGCGATGAGAATGGCTGTCGTAGAGACGCACATGTACTCCGTCGTCAGATGGCAAGAATATCAGGGAGATGGAGAATGGAGGGTTCACAAGAACAACGCCCAGTATACTCCTGTCACGACCTGCTTCTTTAGCACAAGCTTGCAATGCTTCCGCCAGCTCAGACTCTTTTTTAAAGGGCAAACGTTTCCTAATAGACATCGATATATTTCTTTTGGTCTGAAGAATGTGGCATGCGTCATAAGCAGCAAGATGTTTGTCGTCAGGTTTAGCTTCATCGTAAGCCGAGTTACCATCACGGATGTCACGAACGAAATCCTGGCATTGCGATTCGGAAATGCTGCGGCCGGTTGACTGCCTAGTAGAGAGCCAGCGGTATACAACAAGACAAGAGATCACTGTACAGGCTTGGCTGTAGAGACGGCCATCTATTCGATCCTGTGACAAATTCTCCTCCAAGTACATGTACATGCACATCATGCACGGCTGTAGGATCTTCTCAACTGCGGCAGTCGCTGTGGTATCCTCAACTGAGGCCTCAACTGCGTCAGGTGTGGTCTCCCCAACCTCGGGCTTAACTGCGTCAGTCGGTGGGGTCTCATCACCTACCCATGCATCAACTACCATACATGCCCAGCGTGTCACTTGTGTAATATATGCTCGCAGGATGTGGTGTAATAGAAGATCAACAAGCTGGTCGATAGTCTCGACCTGGTCGATAGTCTGTCGTAGATCGTCTGCGATGGTTTGTGACAGCTCTCCCACATCTCCTATCGCCTTCTTTAGATATAGACTGCTAATCCGTTCATCCTCGAGTAAACTTGTCAACACCTTCTTTACCTGCTGTGCTGTCCTTACGGCGTTCGCCTTGCTTCCAGGAGGACTGCTATCCTGAGCAAGCAGGGGCGTGACTGCGTTCTCCACTGCTTCCTTCAGATCTTTACAACATGTCGTGTTGGTTGACAGCGTGAACCACTCATGGTGACCATATGTCTCATCATCATTGTCAGCTCCCTTGGTTTCCAGGTTGTTGCACACCGTGCAACGTGTTCCGCCCTTCTTACATTTCAAGCGACGCAACTCCGTTGTCAGGTACTCCTGCATGTTCAGTAGCCGGTGAGTAAGTGACTCTGCCCGGATGCACTTCTTTGTTTGAACTGGTGTGCCAGTTACTTTGCTCTCAATCCAAAGCTTCTCTTGCTCCCCTAGACGACGTTTACCCACGTCTTCAGGTTTTTCGGTTTCCCCACTACGGACTGTTGCAAAGCCAACTTTTACTGGTTCAATGAGATGTTTAACTTTAGGGTTGTTCAACAACTGCGGCTTTTTCCAAAATTCGCGGGATGTGAAATTATAGACACATCCATCGCAGCCGTTTTTCAATACAAGGCGTTCCCTTTTTTTTGTTGGGTTGTTTGGTTGCCTCTTGCTGTTCCCTTGCTTCTTCTTGGTGGGATTTTTTATATGGTATGTCACAAGACGCCATAGCGCAAGAGCGGGTGACACTTGGCCTTGCTTCTCCCTGTTGCGGTGCGGTTGATTCCCACTGGTGGTGTCGCTCTGAACTTGGTCTTGATTCTCACTGGTGGTGTCGCTCTGAACTTGGTCCTGATTCTCACTGGCGATGTCGCTCTGAACTTGGTTTTGATTCTCACTGGTGGTGTCGCTCTGAACTTGGTCTTGATTCTCACTGGTGGTGTCGCTCTGAACTTGGTCTTGATTCTCACTGGTGGTGTCGCTCTGAACTTGGTCTTGATTCTCACTGGTGGTGTCGCTCTGAACTTGGTCTTGATTCTCACTGGTGGTGTCGCTCTGAACTTGGTCTTGATTCTCACTGGCGATGTCGCTCTGAACTTGGTCTTGATTCTCACTGGCGATGTCGCTCTGAACTACTTGGCCTTGATTCTTACTGATGTTGCTCGGAAAGAGCGGCCTCAAAAATACATTCAACGGTGGACCTGGAAATGTACTATAATTCTTCTGGATAGCACGAAATAGTGGCATGCAAAAAGCCCTTTGCCATAGGTCTCCTCCTTCCGCTAGCTTCCGCTTCGAAGCAGCATTAACTAACTTGACCAGCTTGCTCTTTGAGTACACAGTTTTCTCAAAATCGGCAGGACTAACCTCCGCTGCAGCTGCCCCACTGGCAGCGGCCTCCGCGTTCCCGGACATTTCTGACGGAGCAGTTGCCTGTATTATAGAAGACCAACTAGCGTTGAACGTCTGTCCTCGCTGCTAGTGAGGCTACACACACCTGCTAGATCGTATTCACTTGTGCAGGATGAAGAACAAAACAGACACACTGGATCGGCACCACACAAGGCAAATCCAATCCTGGTCATTCACGAACACAAGCTTCGCTCGCAAAAGTGAGCTGGAAAAATCTACAATCTAGATTCTAACTGCATTAGTTCTTACTATTGGCGCTACCCAGTGCAGCGAAGTATTTGTATTAGTTCTCTTTGTCTTTGAACGGTCACCTCTTTCACTCGTCTAGTCCAGTACATGCTTAGATAGCCGACTACAGTATGGTTCCTGGGTGTAGGTCATCCGGTAAAATCCAACATGCGCTGGTGTTTCGTGTATGTGCGCTGTACAGGTCGTGGCGTGCAAACCAGTACCTGACTTACTACCGGACTGTACTGCAGTATGATGTGTACAGATAACAATACATTGCGTGGGAGCCGGGACTCAGGAGACGTCTAGACCAGGAGGATCTAGGACTGAATCTCTGGCAAACAACGCTGACGTCATTCCGCATGTCACCAGAATCTTCTAGAACTAGCAGAAATGCACATATATGTACATTGTACATGTGCACTTCTGGTGCCATGCGGGATGACGTCAACATCGTATATTGACATGATGTGCATGTGGCCTGGTGATTAAAGGGGAAGTTATTAAAGGCAAAAAATAAAATTTCACCAGTTGTAGTCTTCGGGGTGCTGAGTCGAACGGTCTTGGTCCGAGAAAGCTGAGACGCTCCCTTCCTACTTGAATCCCAATCGAACTCGCGCACTTCCACCGAAACTGGGTGACTGCGCCCTACTAGATGGGGATTTGTATGCAAAATGTCACTAAAAGCGCCATTTCGTTCTTATAAAAGCACGGATGACCGCGATTGGCACATATGTCTTTTGGACGCTGAGTCGACTGGTTTGGGTCTGAAAAGCCTGCGATGCAGCGTTCCTCCTTTATTCCCAATCGAACATGGTTGAACAAGTGGTCACGTGCTCCTGGGTGCCCAAATCACCTGGTCACCACGCCAGCAGGCGACAACTTTCACACCAAGGTTCAACTCGAGTGACAGGACTGCACCCAAAAAAGGTCAAACAGGCTAGTAAGTTGTACCCTGCAGGCACGGTGACCAGCTGACTGGTGTACGCAGGAGCACGTGACCGCTTGTTCAACCATGTTCGATTGGGAATAAAGGAGGAACGCTGCATCGCAGGCTTTTCGGACCAAAACCAGTCGACTCAGCGTCCAAAAGACTACAACATATGGGCCAATCGCGGTCATCCGTGCTTTTATAAAAACGAAATGGCGCTTTTAGTGACATTTTGCATACAAATCCCCATCTAGTAGGGCGCAGTCACCCAGTTTCGGTGGAAGTGCGCGAGTTCGATTGGGATTCAAGTAGGAAGGGAGTGTCTCAGCTTTCTCGGACCAAGACCATTCGACTCAGCACCCCGAAGACTACAACTGGTGAAATTTTAATTTTTGCCTTAACTTCCCCTAAGTGGTGATGGCATGACTCAACTCAACGGTCACATGACAAATGCGTGCCTTGCTAGCTTGCTGTAGCCTGTACTAGGCTGTAGTGTAGCCGGCTGCACAGCTAGCCAACCAAATGAACTGGCCCAACTCCCCATCACCCACACTAGACCACCCAGGCACCCACATTACTCATTAGACCACCCAGGCACCCAGGCACCCACACTAGACCACCCAGGCACCCACACTAGACCACAGCATGATCTTGTTGATCCTGATAGCTACTGAAATCCTGCAGTGCTGGTATTATCATTATTTGCTTGTTCGCGTTGACATCACCAAGAAAGCTTGGCTAGTCTTCGCATACACACACCTCCTCCTCAGACTTGCCCATCGCGGAAGCGATGATAGTGAACAGCTATGTTAGACATAGCAACTTGTGCTGGGACTACACCATTCAACAGCTTGCAAGGCTGATGAATTGACCGCCACTAATTTTAGCCTGGTATCCACCACACAGGTGATTGAGGCGGCTTTTTCTGGCCAGTGAATCCCTATTTTTCATTTTTTCATTTTTTCCATTTTTCTCTTTTTACACACACACACCACACCACATACTCCGGCATACACTGGCTGTTGGTAACCACCCAGGAGAATGAAAGAAGAGAATGAGAAAGAGAAGAAAGACGTGTGCGACCATAATCGTCGGGAATTGAACCCGCAACCTCTCGAATGGAAATCGACTGCACATACCACTGCACCATATGGGGCATACACACACACACATACAAACACACACACACACAAACACACACACAAATACACACACATGCACACACACACAGGCGATGATAGCTATTAGGCGAGGCAGTAATTCTTGTTTCTGGATAAGTCATTCGGACGGCGAAAGTCACTGTCGCAGACATATACGAACACTCTTGGTTGGGGCTGGCTTGGTGGCTTCCGATGGCTACGCTCACGCCAGTCCCTCTGTTCTTGACCATTGCACCTCCGAGATGCCGGTCGCACGCAGGTCTGAAGCTGCCACATATCTCTCCAACGACGCTTGGGTCCATGGCGGGACCGCGTGCTTGTGCCCTCAGCAAACAGGATCTACTTTGGCAACCTGGTGTCACCCATCCTTGCGAGGTCGCCCAGCCATCACAGGCGATTTATGAATGGACCCTTCCAGCGAGGTTGGCATGCCGCTGCGCTTCTCCAGGTCTTCATTTGACAGACTGATGTTCATGCCATTGCTGGTCTCGGTTGACACCCAGGATCATGCGAACACACTGCCAATGGAAAGTATCCAATCTACACAGGATGAGCCTGAGGAGGGGTGCATTCAGCGTCCAGGTCTCAGAATCATACAGCAGCATTGTAAGGACCACTGCCTGGTATACGTGAAGTGGGATCCCAAACGATAGACTCGAGTTCCGGAAAATTGGTTTGAGGAGGCTACCAAACGCCCTCGATGCTTTGGCAAGACGAGTAGTGACTTCGGTATCCAGTTCTCCATCGTCACTGATCGTACTGCCCGGGTAGGTAAAATTGCTCACCACGCCGATCTTGTCATCAGCACTCCCCCGTATCGCAATATCAGCACGAATGACACTCGGACCGACCGCCAAGAACTTCTGAACATTCACAGTCATGCCCCAGCCTGAAACGCACTGTGTAAATTCCTTCACCATCGTCTCCACGTGCTCATACGATGTTGCGTACAGGGCAGCATCATCCACGAATAGCACATAGCACACAGACGCACACACACACACACACACACACACACACACACACACACACGCACACACACACACACACACACACACACACACACACACACACACACACACACACACCTCAGATCTCAGACCTGCCCATCGCAGAAGCAATGATAGCGAACAGCTATATAACTTGTTAGACAAAGCAAGTAGTGCTGGGATTACACCATTCAACAGCTTGCAAAGCACATATACACAAACATACACACACACACACACACACCACACACACACACACACACACACACACACACACACACACACACACACACACACCATGCACCATGTATACGCCCGTCGCAAGAGAAGCAGACAAATCTGCAAATGCACTGGATGTGCACACACACACACACACACACACACACACACACACACACACACACACACACACACACACACACACACACACACACACACACAAACACACATACACACACACACACCACCACCCCCCCCCCCCCCACACACACACACCATTTGACCATTATTTTGACGCCCATCGCCGGAGTCGATGATAGCGATGCTACAGCAGAAGCCTTAGCAATCTGTGCTGGGATTGCACCATTCAACAGCTTGCAAGGCTGAAGCATTGGCCGCCACTATTCAGCCTGGTCTACACCACACAGCTATGAACACACTGTCACACACACACACACACACACACACACGCACATACACATACACGCACATTCATCATGGCCTGCAAGAAGTAATTTTGGGAACTGTGTGTCCCCCAAGTATCGCCAAAGAAAAAAAATCTTCAAGAAGCAATTTTGCTGAAGCAGAGTGGAATACTATTTGTGTGCCATGCACTGCTCATATCCATGCATTTGGCCGGAAAGCTGTGAAAGAAATCAGGGTCACTGCAGCAAGCGGGGGTTATAAATTTTGATAATGTGGCAGTTTGATCATACATACATATACATAATATGATTACTTATTAGCGCTGAATCTAGACACTACGAGTACAAAGGGAAATGCACGTGATGCATAATACACGTGTACATAATACTGATGTATACGGTCATGATCACTTTTGTTCCACCGGATTTTCGTTTGTTTCTATTACTAAGCTGCACGCCTAGTTTTTATCATTCAATTTTGCTGTTCACCTTTTGACTTCTTTGCTCTCCTTGCATTCATATCATCATTGCTTTGTGCGTTCAACAAAACACATTTTAGTAGTAGAATTAGAAGTGCACATACATACAGTGCATGTGCACTTCGGGTGACATGTGATGCGGAATGAAGAGAACATCGTTTATTGACGTGTGACTAAATTTTGGTGGCATGACTTACCGGTAACTCAACTGTCCCATGACTAGCCCTGTCCCAAAGATGCCAAAATATTTCGCAACTAATACTTATGCTTTTCGCAACCATGCCAAAACAAGCGAAAGTTGCTGGAAAAACATCCATATTTTCAGAAAAAGCTCGAAAGTTGCTGATATCGCAACTCAAACTGAGCGAGTGCTTGTGCATAATATCATAGCATCATTGTTCTGTGCACTACAACCATCCACGGTTGGTAGAGCCGGTTCAAATGGTCGCAAGACTGGGGCTCTGCCAACCGTGGATGGTTGTAGTAATAGGCGATTCACACGACAGGCAAATCCACGTTTACAGGAAAGTCACCATGGAGATATTCCTGCGGGTGACCAAAATTTGCCCGCGGGAATCAAAAGTGTCCATGGCCTTTTTGCCCGCGGATGCACTCATCTGCGGGCACTTTTACAGTTATGAGGCTGTGAGGTCGTACTATGGTACGGTAGTCTTGAACCCTGGTTGTTTGGCCTTTGTTTTTGGGTACTCATTCCAAATCACCACAGTAACGCCGTATACTCACCGGATACTCGCGGGAGCTCTGGCCGCCACCCGCGGCCGTGTGAACTGCGGCCTCACGTTTCACTTCCTGCGGGCACTTGACAAACGTGGATTTGCCTGTCGTGTGAATCGCCTATAATCACACCGAGCTCGATTCAGCCGTTCAGCCA